TTTTTTTTTTAATAAGGCTGAGGATGTAACTCAGTGCAAAGGCTCTGGGTTCAAGCCTTAGTACTGCAAAAGAAAAAAGAGGAAGAGGAAAAAAGAAGGAGGAGGAAAGAGAGAGAGACCTACTGCAGGCTCTGAGCTGTGCTTTGTTTGCAAAATGGGGCCACCAGCTGCCCAGCTGCCTGTGATGCTGTTGAAACGGAAACAGGAAAGGTTTACAACCCGGCTCGTTTTGTGCAATTACCCATAGCACTGTAATGAACGGGCCAGCAGTGCCTAGGCACAGGCTAAACCTTGGGAAAGTTGCACTCAGCGCCAAAGGTCCCCTAATACACAGTTTAATTTTGCAAGTGATGCTCTGGGATGGCCCAAAGAAAAAGGCACTGGGAAGTACTTCCCAGAGGTAGGAGTGGGCAGGGCAGGGGAGACGGGTCTGATAGCAAACTATACCCTGTCTTGCCCATATCTTCATCTTTAACTGGCCAATGATGAAACCAGAGGCTCTAAGAGGCTAAGAGATCAGTTAGTGACAAGACTGCGTCTTGAACTTGGGTCTTCTGACTCCTGGTCTACCTCATTATCCATGGGGCCTGGAGATTAAAATATGCTGGAGAGGATCTTGGCTCTAGGAAAATGACAGGGGAACGTACCCCTGGGGAGAGGACACTTGGGCTCCTCATCGTCCCTCCTGCAGTGGTACTCTTGAGGCCCGCAGTCATTTTCATCCCGTTGATTTCTTCAGCCTGATGCCTGATGCCTCTGCTTTGTCATTTCTAGGGCTGGCTATGTGATGCTCATCGACGCTGGGGCTCTCAGCTTTGCTTTGGCGATGGGTCTGGGCTCTGGTTTCCTAACAGGTCAGTATGATGCCACCCTTCTTCCTCCACTGCCTGGACCCAGGGCAGGGGCCAGAGTACATCCTGGGATGACCATATAGGTGCTGTCTCCCCATCCTCATGGACCAATACTATCAGTTCCAGCTCAACGTCACAAAGGGCTCAAACTTTGAATTTATTTATTTATTTGTTTGTTTATTTATTTATTTATTGTCTTTTTGAGACAGGGTCTCGCTATGCAGTTCAGGCTGGCCTTGAGCTCACTTTGTAGCCCAGGCTGGTCTCAAACTTGCAACGATCCTCCTGCTTCAGCCTACCGAGTGCTGGGATTACAGGTGTGTGCCACTATGTCCAACACAAACTTTGCTTTAAAAAAAAAAAACATAGAATCACATCATTTCAGAACTGAAAAGGCCTTCAGACCTTCCACAATGACCTACAGTCTTTCCTTACCAAGCTTTCTTCTTTACATGTTACTTCTGACAGTGGGGACATTAGAGTGATTACAAACACCATGGGATGGCCATGTGATGCACACCTATAATCCCAGCACTTTTCGAGGTGAGGCAGGATGATCAAATGTCTAGCTCAGCCTGGTCAAGTTAATAACTTAGTGAGATCCTACCTCAAAAAAAAAAAAAAAAAGGGTTGGGAATGTAGTTCAGTATGAAGGTCCTGACTTCAGTTTCCAGTACCATAAAAATAAAAACAAACAAACAAAATACCCAGACAAAAAACTAAACAAGCAAAGAACAAGTAGGGGTGGGGGTGTAGCTCAGCAGCAGAGTACTGGCCTGGCATGTGCGGGGCCCTGGGTTCATCCTCAGCACTTCACAAACAAACACCACCACCAACAAAACAAACAAACAAAATAAAACAAACAAGCCTGAACAATGGAAGGGGGCAAAATCTTAGAAGCACCAAACTGGCCCCCTAAAGCCAAGCAGTTAACTTATTAGTAGATATCCCCCTACTTGGTGTCTATCCATACTTATTTAAGAAACAACCGTTCTGAGTGTGGTTACTAGGGTTTTTTTTTTTTTTTTTTTTTTTTTTTTTTTTTTTGGTTATTAGGTTTTCCAGTTTGGGTAGATTAAAAATGGCAGAGCAGAGGTGGGTTAAGTTTCCATAAGTAATACACACTGGTAGAATTCAAAAGGGAAAGCAGAGAGTTCAACAGTGGTGAAGAAATTCTTAAAACTGGACCCAAGAGCACAAGAAGCTCAGGCTGCTGAGTGAACAGGCCAGAGCTCTCAGCCGCAATGTACTTCTCTGATATCCAGCATGTTTTGAAAATGGATATTCCTAGTGACAATTCTGACTTTTTTTTTTTAGTCTATCAATATGTTCAATGTTGTCTCCTAAGAATATATGTTTTGTATGAGTTTTCATCAGTGATGAGTAAGCTTCAGCTATCTGGAAAATTCAAGCAGGTGATAGATCATTTCTGAATGATTTTAGTGACATGAAATATGCTGGTTTCACTTTGCATACCAGTAAAGGCTACACTCTGAAAGGAAAATGTGAATTTTACTCAGCACACACCTACTCTTGTTCATCTTATTATTTAAGCCAGGCATGGTGGTACACGCCTATAATCCAAGCACTTGGGAGGCTGAGGCAGGAGGATCACTGTGAGTTCGAGACCAGCCTGGGCTACAAAGTGAGCCCAAGGCCAGCCTGAACTGCATAGCGAGACCTTGTCTCAAAAAGACAAAAAAAAATCTTATTATTTAATATACTGACGCTGTCATCATTAAAAATATACAAATAGCTGGGTATGGTGGTACATGCCTGTCATTCCAGCTACTCAGGAAAGCTCAATCCTTTGAGCCCAGGATTTTGAGGCTAGCCTGGGCAACACAGACCTTGTCCTTTAACACACACGCACACACACACACACAAACACACACACACACGGAATCAGAGATAGAGACAGAGACAGAGAAATATTCCTGCCTCTGATGAAAAACAAGCAGTCACTGTGCCCTGGGAGGGGGCTGGGGATTTAGCTCAGTGGCACAGCGCCTGCCTGGCAAGCGCAAGGTCATGAGTTTGATTCCCGGTACCAGAAACAACAACAATAACAACAACAACAACAACAACAACAACAACAAAATGTGCCCTGGGAAATAAAGCTGACTTTGCAAAGCTAATAGGATGTGTAGGGTCAAACCACCTGAGCAGAGGCTGCACAAGAGAGGAAAAGCAGGAACAAAAGCAAGTTGTTGCAAATGATGTTCCTCACTGCAGTAGCAGAAGCGTGAGCTGAGGCTGCTGGCTGGCTTTCAGAGCTTTGGAAGACAGACGGGTGGGAGCCGCTTGGGAGTCGCTCTCCATGGTAACCTTTGCATTTTAAATGGGTCAGCTTTGGAGTGGGACGCCATCCTCCAGGGCCCTTCTCTTCTGTCTTGGGAAGGGCATCTGATCTGCAGCTAATAGGTGCCACTCGGTGTCATTTCAACCCTCTGGAGAATGTTGGAGAACATCGCTCTTGCCAGTTCCTATTAAAAGACAGCTACAGAATTAATGAAGCTGACCCAGGGATGACAGGGGTCCCATTTGTCTGTCTCTGGATGGTGGAAGAGAAATGATTTCTGTTGAGATGCTGTAGTCCACATACAACATGTCGATCAATCTTGACATAACAATGTTCGCCACCAATGTTTTAATAATTCATCGTCATTGTTTTAAGGTTTTCTCCTAAAGCTCAGAATATGGAGAGCACCTCCTGTGGTTAAACATTTTGATGATCAAGCTTTCTGGGAGGTAAGATTTCTAGCCTATTCACCTGATAAATTTTGAATGTATGAATTTAAAAAAGATTGTGGGATATATATGTTAATGTATTGATGAGAGAAAAACAGAAACAAAAATGAGATAAAGAGCGGGAGGGAAGGGCAAGTTCATAACGTGTGTGTGTGTGTGTGTGTGTGTGTGTGTGTGTTGGTGGGGAGTGGGCAGTTGGTAAAAGTTACCACTTTCCTGATAACTCAAGCTCATTGAAGGTCTGTGAGGAGAGAAAGGCCATTGGTCACACCTGTCCTCTCCCCGCTGGGAGTCATCAGTGTTGACAGTTGGTTCACAGGAAGAGGATAGAACTTGGCCACACGAGTGTGAAAGAAACTGTGGGGGCCATTGAGTCCAACCCCCTATTTGGAAGATACTCAGAGAGGAGACGTGACTTGTCCAAGATCTCAGTAAGTGAGGGATAAAGCTGAATCCAGAACATGACTTTCTTTCTTTTTCTTTTCTTTTCTCTCTCTTTCTCTCTTTCTTTCTTTCTCCTTCCTTCCTTCCTCCTCCTCCTTCTTCATCTTCTCTTTTTCTCTCTCTTCTTGTGGGCTAACTGAACCCAGAGCCTTTTCACTGAGTTGCATTCCCAAACCTTTTTATTTTTTATTTTAAGACTTAGATTCTTCCTAAGTTGGTAAGTTACTAAGTTCCCCTGGCTGGTGTCAAACTTGTGATTCTGCCTCATCCTTCCAGAGTGCTGGGGCTGCAGGCGTGTACTGCCATACTCATGTAGAATGCAACTCTTGATAAATTAAACTAGTGGATACAAGGATAGTATAGGAGTTTGGGGTTATTTCACAAGGGGACATAGCACTCAGCTGCTCCTGAAGATTTCTGTGTTACATTGTCACATGTGCTCAAGACTCATCCCTGTCATCTCCTCTGCCTCCTCCCTTGCCTTACACACATGGTTCACAAAGCACACTGATAGGTGTCTTCTCAGGTAATCAACCCGTGCCTTGGGTAGGCTGGGAATACAGGGACCAATGTGGCCAAAGGAAGCTGGCCAGCAGAGGTCAGGCTAAGGCTTAGCATACCTTTGCAAATGAGAGAGACAGGACCAGGTGCTGGGCCTTCTGCATCCCAGGCCAGTGTTTCCCTACCTACCATCCAAGATACAAAAAAGAGACAGAAGGGCAGTCTTACTATGGGCCACAGTCAGGGATCCTAGAACCTGTTTTTTCTTCTCCATTTCCTTCTCTTTTCTTCTTCCTTTTCCCCTCCAAACAGCTTTATGGAGGTACCGTTGACATGAGTGAGTTGCACATACTTAAGGTATAGAACTGGATACATCTGAACGTATTTACACACCTGTGGGACCATCACCACAAACAAGATAAGAAACACACACTCACCCGCACGCATTCCCTTGTGCTTCGGAAAGTGTTCTCCCCGACCCCTTTGAGTCCCATTCCCAGGCAACCAGTGAACTACTTTCTGTCACTGTAGACTGGTTTGCATTTTTTATAATTCTTTATAAATGGAACCATACAGTACACTCTTTCTTTCTTTTCTTTTTTTTTTTTTTTTGGTCTGGCTTCTACTTAGCATAATTTCTGAGAGTCACGTTGTCATGTGTAGCCTGCCTCAACTTGCAGCAGCTTTGCTTCTCTTTAGCAGCATAGGGTTAATCTAGCGAGAGGAATCAAAGAGCTGGTTTAATCCACTCGTCCATTCTGCATGTGTTTGTTGAGCTTCATGCTAACCAATAAGGGACACCACAAATAGGACAAATATCCGGCGCAAGCACTCAAGTGGCAATAAACATTTACTGAATAAATAAAGAAAATCTCACACACCCTGTCTACTGCTGCTTCAGCAGCAAGTGACACAGAGCCAGTTTGTACCTAGACCTGATTCCAGTCACAATCCCACAATGTATCATGTAGGCGAGTGCCTTGACTCTCACTGGTAAAAAAATAGAAATCTGATGCAGGAAGATTCCAACTTTGAGCCCAGCCTGGACAGCTTAGCTACTTAGTGGAACACTGTCTTAAAAAATTAAAAAATGGGGCTGGGGATTTAGCTCAGCGGCAAAAGTGCCTGCTCTGGCAAGCGCAAGGTCGTGAGTTCGGTTCCTGGTACCGGAGAAAAACAAAAAAACAAAAAAACAAAACAAAACAAAAAATTAAAAAATGGACCAAGATGGTAGCTCAGTGCAAAGACCAAAAAACAAAACAAACAAACAAAAAAACACTTTAATCCTTACTGGGTTGTTTTGAAGATCAAATGAAGCAATAATGTCTGTAACAATACTCACAAAAATGCAAATCACCACATGAATGTGAAAGTTTATTACTAGGGGTTTAGTCAATGATGAAGGAATATGTAAACCTAATAGCTATCATATCACAAGCCTAGTATTTGTGATTTTGCAACATTATCTGATTTTATCTTCACAACAATCTTATTTTTTTTGTTTTTTTTTGTTTTTGTTTTTTTTCTTCCGGTACCAGGAATTGAACTCACGACCTTGCACTTGCCAGGCAGGCGCTGTGCCGCTGAGCTAAATCCCCAGCCCCACCCAACAATCTTGTATGAAAACAAGTATCTCCATCTTAAAGATAAAGAGATCGAGACCTGTGAGGATGAAGTATTTTGCCTCAGTGTCAGAGCTAGCAGGTGGACCAGGAAAAATTTGAACAAATGTTTATCTGGCTCCAAAGACACACCACATATGCATGTGTTGGGGGCAGCTACTGGAGAGCAGAATTTTATTCCCCTAACCACCATTTGGGCAATCTTCTGATTTATTTTCTTTCTTTTTTTTTTCTTTTTTTTTGTCTTTTTGAGACAGGTCTCTGTATGCAGTTCAGGCTGGACTTGAGCTCACTTTGTAGCCCAGGCTGGCCTCGAACTCACAGCTATCCTCCTGCCTCAGCCTCCCGAGTGCTGGGATTACAGGTGTGCGCCACCACGCCCAGCCTGATTTATTTTCTTATAGTTGAGTAGAACCATTTGTTCAGCATTCTACCACTTTCAGCTTGTATTTGGAAGCCAAATACCCATTACTGAGGCAAGGATTTCAACTTGCAAAGCTGATAAACCCAGCAGTAGCTTTTTAAAGCCATCCAACAAGACATTTTAAACACTATTGAGTGTTCTTATTACATTTCAGAGAACCAGACAACAAAGAGGTGGAAGGGACATTCAAGCTAGCTCAGGGAGGGTGGGTAGCACAGTTGTACAGCCTGGGCTTCACCTGCATGAGGCCCGGGGTTCAATCCCCAGCAGCAAAGCAACAATAATATAAATAAAAAGCCAAACCAACTCATCCATTCCTTCTCAGGGGGCCCAAACTGTCTGGCACTGCTGGGGAGGGGCACTCATTCTTCTCCAAGGACTTCTATCTCATCCTTGGCTGGTTCATGAAAATGCACGAATTCATTTCACTACATGAATGATCCAAGCTTGTAGATGCTGTGTGAGGTACCGTGAGACAAATCTAAAGAAAACACAGTTCTGAGTCTCAAGGAGCCAGATATACCTATCTTCAGTTTCCCTGTAGTTTACAATGATCCTTTCCCAGGCACTACTTTATAGAAATTTAGTTTTATAACACAATTTTTCATGCATCGTGTGCCTTTCCTAAGAGAATAAACTTCTTCCTTTGGTTCTTGAATAAGCCCTATACTTTATTTCATGCTTTGCAAAGCACAAAGATTCACTGACATCTACTGTTTAAAATTTATTCCCATTAACCTTTCTGAAGTCAAGCAAGGAATTTTTTTTACATGAGTCTACTGTAGGTAGGCTGCTGTTTTTAAGGACTGTGCAGATGTTAAGGACTTGGCTGAGGGAACTGTCTTTATATATGCACACTTCTGACTATGAAGGACCAAGTCATCCAGCAGTAACTGCTAGGAGAGAGAGAGAGGAGGGAGAGATCACGATTGGGAAGGCCAGGGAAGGCTGAAAGATGGCCAGAGGCATTTGACTTTCATCCTACAGGCAACTAGAAGTTCAAACTGGGGAGCTTTGGTGGGGAAATGATACAACAAAATGCAAGTCTTCACATTACATTGAATGGTAGGACTCAACACTGGCAAGGATTCTGAGCTGACTGCATTATGCTGAAGATCACCCACTGGCTTCTGAATATGTATTTGCAGTGATCCTTCAATACCACCCACCCCTCTTCCCACTCCTGTGCTGGGGATCCAACCCAAGGCCTTATGCATGCAAAGCATGTGTTTTACTACTGAACTACACCTTTGGCCACTGCAGTTTATTTTTTTTTGGTGGGGGGCGCATTTCCGGTACCAGGAATTGAACTCACAACCTTGCGCTTGCCAGACAGGCGCTGTGCCACTGAGCTGAATCCCCAGCCCCCTGCAGTTTATTTTTAAATGATTTTATTGGCAAGAAATATAGGGGCTGGGGATATAGCTCAGCGGCACAAGTGTCTGCCTAGCAAGAGCAAGGTCTTAAGTTCAATTCCTGGTACCAAGAAAAAAACAAACAAAAAGAAATATAAGCATCACCACTATTTTGGAAAAAAAAAAAAAAAAGACAAAATGTGAGTTCCTCTTGATGTTTTATGTAGTTTTTAAAACCTGGCCCATCATATAGGTTATTACTCCAGCTTCTTGAGTTTAATTAAAAGTTCTAGACATACACCTAAGTTCTAACAAATTCTTGTTCAGCTAGAATGAGGAAAGCCAGCTTTTTAAAGTAGGAAAACATTAGGAGACTGCCAACGACCTTTTAAAGTCTCCGTGAGGCTCAGTGAAAAGGGAATTCTCAGAGGAAATATGAACTCTGGTCCTAGCTCCCCTAGTGGTGAGCTGGAGTCCTTGGGGAGGCTACTTTACATCTCTGGGGTTTGGTTTCCTCATTTATAAAATGAGATCTAGTCCTATGTTCTAAGAGCATGTTCTCTGGAGTCAGCCCGATCTGCAGTCCGCCACTTTCACCCCAGTGACTTTGTACTGGTGGAGTCCCAGCTTCCCACTTCCTACAATGCGGACATTACTAATGCTACACTGGGTGCCTGCGGGCATATAAAGGGGATAGCATATGTGAGATGCTGGTGCAGACTGATCCGCAGGAGACACCCCTGGGGGTCAGCTACCCTGACTTCTAGCCCTAGGATTCTGTGATCCAAGTGTTACTGTCCAAACCGGGTCGATGTCTCACAAAGTCAAAGAATTAAAGCACGAGCAAAGGAGGTAGTTAAGTGTTTACTGGAAGTATAAGAAAGCAAGCTCCCAATAGCTGGGAAGGGTCCCAAAAAGGGTTGCCAGAGTAAAGTCCTTGTCTCGTGTCTTTTATGTTTAGGTGGCCAGGTCCCTGGTGTAACAGGTGAAGGTGGGGCTTAATCTATAGAATCTGGGTACGGACTGTCCATGCTCTGATACGACCTATAGAGAAACAGAGCATGCAGCAGCCATCACTCACTGTGCAAGCACTCTTGGGGCAGTCAGGAATCGTGCTGTGTAATTAGGAGTAGAAGAGAGAAGGGGATCAGTTACAATAGTCACTTTCCTGTGTCTGCTTTTACCTTCCTGAGCTAAGTGATCTGTGTGGCTTGAGTTAACACTGAACCCTGTGTACATGCTGTTTTCTTTATAAGGCTGACCATCCCAGCTCCACCATAGGCCCTGTCCCTTGCTAGCTGCCTATTTATAAGCTAAATGGCTAAACTACCTCTTGCACAAAGTTACTCAACATGAAATGATGCTGAATGGCAACTGTAATATGGCGCAAAAAGGACTCAGGACATATTCAGCCCACAAAAGAGACAAAGGAGACCTAAGAACTCTTCCCAAAACAGTTTACTATACTGGAATGTAGAAAAAAAATTATTTTCCCCTATGCTCCTCCAAAGAATTTCAGCAGGCCAGGTGGGAGAGGCACCATACATTTCTAAAAATTTGCACTGTTTCCAAAGTAGAATGAGTTACTTCATCCGATAGCAGTGAGTCCTCTGCCACTGGAGTTCTTTTTTAAAAAGTCAAATTATGAATGATTTGAGTACAGAGGTAAATGAAGGTCTATCTGAGATCTCATCTTACTCAGATTTTATAAAAGAATCTTTCAGGTGTTTGTGATGAGAGTGTATTAGTCAACTAGCTTTCTTTCTCTCACTGTGACAAAACACCTGAGGAGTGGGGAAGGAAAGATTTATTTTGGCTTATGGTTTCAGAAGTTGCAGTCCATGGTCAGCCTGCTCCATTGTTTTTTGACCTATATATATAGAGAGAAACATGGCAGAAAGGTTTGGCAGAAGAAAGCTGCTCATCTCATGGCAGTGAGGAATGGGGAAGGGAAACAGAGACAAAGGAAGACAGAGACCAGGAACAAGATATAGTCTCTTTAACTAGGTCCCAACTCTGAAATTTCCATCACATTCCAATGATGCCATCAAATTATGGATTAATTCACTGACATTAGGACCCTCAAATCCAATCACCGTCTGAAAGCCCCACCTCTGAGCTTTATTTACTGCGTTGGGAACCAAGCCTCCAACACAAGCCTTTCTTTGGGTAACATTTCATATTCCCACCATAATAGAGTGATGGTTAAGTTTGAAGAGATCAAAGTAGAATCAGTACGCATATAAAATATAAGAGTAGGGGCTGGGGGCATAGCTCAGCAGCATGAGGCCTGCCTGGCAAACGTGAGGTCCTGAGTTCAAGTCTCAGTTCCAAAAAAATAATTTTTTTTGTGTTTGTGTAAGAGTCACTGTGTGTGGTGACCTATGTCTGTAATCCCAGCATTCAGGAGGCTGAGGCAGGAAGATCACCACAAGTTCGAGGCCAGCTTGGGCCACACAGTGAATTTAAGGCCACCTTGCACTACATAGTGAGACCTTCTCTCAAAAAAAAAAAAAAAAAAGAGAGAGTATAAGATGTATCAGCACTAATAATCATATTTGCTTTGCTTTTACAGTTTCCTCACTTGGCTGCTGGATTTTAAGCAAAAGCATCCAAAAATAACAAGACTACTGATCTTGGAAACATGACAACTTCCTTTTCCTGTCACCCACCTGTTTGTATGTGACCCTCATTACAGCAAAGTCTCTATGTACAATGAAACAAAGTCAGATAAACTTGGTATTTTTAAAAGATTGCAAACTTTTTAAAGTGGCAATTTAATAAAGTTTTAAATAATGTTTGGCTTTATTAAAGACAATGCTATCCATATTTTTTTTAAAAGGGGAAAATGTTTATTTAGCTCACAGTTTGTGGAGGTTTCAGTTCATAATCAGCTGGCTGCAAGGCAGGGTGGCACATGGCCGAGGGCAACAGTTCATGGCAGAGGAAGACAGCAAAAGCAACAGGTGGGAGGGGAAGAGGGAGAGAAACCTCTTATAACTGTATGTCTTATATTGTATGACAAATATCTTACATTGTATGCAGGCTACCTGCCCTAGGGCAGGTGTAGCACTCACACCTTTAATCCCATTATTGGACCATGAATCGATCACAAACTCTAGAAGTGTGCTCCTATGATTGCATGAGGCTTTGGGGGGACATCTAGATGCAAACCATAACATTCTGCCCCTGTTCCCCACAGACTCATGTGTATTCCTTTATGCAAAAGGCATTTAATTCATCTCTAAGAGTTGCCAAAGTCCTATCAGTTTCAGCATGGCTGAAAAGTCCAAGTCCCAAGTTTCCTCTGAGATTTAAGGCAAACTCTTAGTTTTGAGCCCCTGTACAAATGAAAATAAAGTTAAACCCTTCCCACATTTAATGGCACAAGATAGACATTTCCATTCCAAAAGCTACAAATGGGGATACAAAGGAATGGGACCAAAGCAAGTCCAAAATCCACCGGGGGGGGGGCGGCTGGGGATTTAGCTGAGTGGCACAGTGCCTGCCTGGCAAGCACAAGGTCATGAGTTCGATTCCCAGTACCGGAAAAAAACCAAAAAACCAAACCAAAACAAAACAAAACAAAACAAAACAAAATAAAAAAAAAACAAAATCCACCTGGGCAAACATTAAGTCCTTTAGTTCCATGTACAGCATCTGAGGCAATCTATGGCAAGATGTGAACTCCAAAGGACTTGGGTGGCTCTGGCTCTACAGCACTTCTGATCATTGTAGCTTCCATGGCTTCTCTTTTGGGCCCACTCTGCTCCCTCCTTGAAGCTTTCCTCAGATGATTCATGTCCTGGCTTCTCCAAACCTCTAGGGTCTTCACCGCACCTTTGGCTTTACATCACTGCTCCACACCTTACCCTCTCAAAGGCACACTGCCTGGCCTCCCAGGCTTTCTTATGATTGGGGTGGAAGCCTTCCTGACTCCACAACTTTTGCATTCTGCATGCTCCTAAAACCAGCACCATGGTCTGCTGCCAGCTGGAACAGTAGCCAGGCTTCCCTCTTGGCTATAGGGATTGAGTGCCTATCTAGGCACTGTTCAATTCTGAGGAACAAATTTTCTGTGCTGCCACCATTCTGGAACATGGTGGGACTGCTATAATTGTGATTCTAGAACATGATGCAGCCACTGCCATTCTGGAATATGGTGCTCTGGAGCTTTCTTCTCAAAGCAAAGACTTCCATTTTTGCAGTTTTTTGTTTTGGTTTGTTTTAGTTTTTTTTGCTGGGGGGAGGTACCAGAAATTGGAACTCAGAACTGCGTGCTTGCCATACTTTTGCAGTTTTGAAGCTGCAAAAAGGGTGGAGTTCTGCTGCTTCTTATGATGCTCCCAGGCCATCTTTTCTATTCTCCTGTTCCTTCTCAGCAATCGAGATCTGCCCAGCTCTATCTTTGCAGTCCACAGCTTTACTGGACCTTCCTTTCTGGCCAAACTCAAAATCTTTTGAATCATTCTGCTGAGCAATTTGCTCTTGATTCTTAACATAAACCTCACTAAAAGCCCCCAACAGTAGCCATGCCACCACCTCAACATTAGACGGCCTTGAAATTTATTCTGCCAGATTAGTTAGTCTTCAGCCCTTTTCAGTCTCAGGCAAAGTCTCTGGACCTGAACAAAATCCAGACAAACTTTCTGCCAAGGCATAATACACATCATCTGGAGTCCAACAGCCAATGCAGTCCTTCTTCCTAGAAGAAACCTCCTGAGCCTTTCTGGTCTTCTAAGACCAGAGAGTCTACCCAGCTTTCTCTAACCAGCTTTCTGGTCTTCCTAAGCTTTGACCAGAATCTTTCGTATAGTACAGCCTAAGGCGTTCCAGTGCTTTTTCAGCCAGCATCGCTGAGCCTTTCCGTACTCTTCCCACAAGTCAGTCCCAAAGGCTCCTGAAGCACATGGTCAGGTATAGTTGTAGCAATGACCCCACTTCTTTGGTACCAAAGTGTCTTAATTACTTTTCTCCTTGCTGAGGCAAAATACTCAATACCCCAAGTTGAAGGTGTAAAGGTTTATTTTGTTCACAGTTTGTAGAGGTTTTAGTCCATAGTCAGATGGCTCCAAGGCAGGGGGGCACATCACAGAAACAGTTCATTGCAGAAGAGAGCAAAAGCAACTGGTGGTGGGGGCGTATTTTTGGTTGCAGACACATTCAGTTCATTTGTAGTGCCAACTGTCAGATTCTTTTTAATGCTTAATAAAGTATGTTCACTCTGCCTACAGCAACAGAGCAGAGAGTTCAAAATTTCAGGGGCTGGGGATATAGCTCAGTGGCATAAGCGCTTGCCAGGCAAGCCTGAGGTCATGAGTTCAATTCCTGGTACCAAAAAAAGAATAAAGCAGTAAACAAACAAAAAAAGGCAATTGTAAAAAATTTTGGGGGCTGGGGATTTAGCTCAGTGGCACTGCACATGCCTGGCAAGCATGAGGGTGTGAGTTCGATTCCTGGTACCGGAAAACAAACAAACAAAAATTTTTAAAAAGCTAAGAATTCACTTCTATTTCATTTTCTTTTTAGTCCAGCAGTTTTCTAAGATAGTTGGCATTTCCTGAGCATACCGAGTTCCACTGTGGGGAAAGAACTTGGGGTCACTTGTGAGATGGAGATACACAGCTTTAGAATGATTGAAACACTGGTACTGACCTTGAAGAACTCATTTTAAGACTCCACGGTCTACATATTCTCATATGTAAAAAGGTGGACTTCAATTACTGAGATTCCTTCCAATTTTTATTTTATGGGTCTATGCAAAAAAAAAAAAAAAAGTCAGGAGCAATTTCATGGGTGATGACAGCAGCACTGTCGTTTCTTTGCTTAGTGTCCTTATGGCCAGCAATATTCAAAACTGACAGTACAGCAGAAAATGATGGCTCAGGTAGAAGTGCCCACATACTGAAACCATCAGCTGCAGCTGTGGTTCACGGGGCTAACTGTAGCCTATTTATGAAAAACATTTCCAGCCAGAACTCCGAAGAGTGTGTACCCTATTCTGCAGACGTTGGGAGCCTCAGGGGACATGTGTTCCAATGAGCAATAGACTGCAGGAGTTCCTGCTAGCTAATGTGTGTAATTGTAATAGACCCTGCTGGTCTACAGAGCTCAGCGGTTCAGATCAGAGATAAAATAAAGCATAAAATCCAAATTATTGTGAGAACAATGAAGAAATTTTGTCACCAGGATAAAAGACTAAGGTGTCAAGTAGTAACTGGCAGGGTAAAATGGTACTATAAAAGTCAGAAGTTTTTCTTTCCTGAGGCCTAGAGTGGAAACTACCTGCTCCTTTCCTAAACCCAGATGAAAAAACAGAAAATACAGATGATGCCACCGAGAAGTCAAGGTCGAGTTTTCTCTCTACAGGGAAGGGAGGAAAAGGAAAATGGAAGGACTGTGCAATTTTTTTTTTTTAATTTTTTTTTTTTGAGACAGGGTCTCACTGTGTAGTTCAGGCTGGCCTTGAGCTCACTTTGTAGCTCACACTGGTCTCGAACTCGCAGTGATCCTCCTGCCTCGGCCTCCCAAGTGCTGGGATTACAGGCGTGTGTCACCATGTCCGGCACAGGACTGTGCAATTCTTGAGTCACCTACTGTCTCACTCTACTCCCTCCCTGACTCTTCCTTACTATAAAAGTGGCCCCTTGCACAAATGGACATGGGGAGACAGTGATCGGTGGCAACATGAGGCCCCGCCGTCTCCTCAGAGCTGTAACTGTCTCTTTTCACCAAAAATGGCCTCCTGTGGTCTGTGGTTTGTCTGGGAGCTGCAAGCAAGCACACCTGAGAGTGTAGTGCTCCATCAGGACCCTGTGTCACAGCTGAGTTACAGCCTTCTCCCCGGAATCAGTGGCACATGGAGGATTCTCCACAGAAGAGACACGAGGGGTTGGGCGTGGTGGGCGCATGCCTGTAATCCCAGCACTCAGGAGGCTGAGGCAGGAGGATCGTGTGAGTTCGAGATCAGCCTGGGCTACAAAGTGAGCTCAAGGCCAGCCTGAACTGCATAGTGAGACCCTGTCTTAAAAAAAAAAAAAAAAAGAAGAGACATGAGGAACCTGGTGGCTGAATCACTGCTTCTTTCTTCTGACCTGTTCACTCACCCTTGGGAGACCCTCCATGCTAATATGCTGAAACTGTTACAGAATTTTTGGTGAAAAAACATACAAAGCAAATACGTAACGAGAAACAATTTTGACCACTGAATAGTTTATAAAAACAAGAAAATGCTTATATTTCATGTAACATTTGACATTTCAATAAGGGGCCACATTTCAAAAAACACATTAAATCTTCAGAGCACTTTCATTGCAGTTCTTTGGACCCCAGACCAAATACACTCATGAATCCATAATTTCTTCTGTAATTTACTTTTATTTTTACAAATTATATCATGATGAAATGACAGAAGTTACCCATGTGAAACAATTTCCTTTAACGCTGTGTAAGTTAATTAGGTGCACACCACGGAGATTTTGTTGCTGTCGACACGCGGGGAGTTCTCATGATTTTAGCATTACACAACTTGAATCTGAGACTGTACTCAGAAGTAAGTTTAGAAAATGGCATTACAAAAGACAGGGAGTGAGCGGTAAAAAACCCCACGCAGGGCTGCCAGGCTGCAGGAAGTCTGCTATTTTCACTGCCACAAGTCTTCGGTGCGGCCAAACTTAAACACCAGTCCTCTGTGGGTAAAATAAGAAACATCAGATGACCTGGCTTTGAGAAAAGAGTATATGAGATTTTGAGGGTGGAGGGAAACAAGCAACGAAAAGTAATGATGAGTTGCATAAAACACATTTGAGCTAGTCGTGGTGGCACATGCCTATAATACCAGCACTTGGGAGGCTGAGGCAGGAGGACTGCTGCGAGTTCAATGCCAGCCTGGGCTACAAAGTGAGCTCAAGGCAGCCTGAACTGCAGAGCAAGACCCTGTCTCAAAAAACAAACAAAAAACAACAAAAAAAACACCCACATTTGGTATGGAATGTATCAAAATGGAAACACCATTCTAGAGAGGTGGGTTCTTGTGCTGTTTATTATTTTTTTTGTTTTTGTTTTTTTCTGGTACCAGGAATTGAACTCACGACCTTGTACTTGCCAGGCAGGCGCTGTGCTGCTGAGCTAAATCCCCAGCCCCTCTTGTGCTGTTTAACACCATCTTTCCCAAACCTTAATTTACAAGTACAGAAGACGCATGACTTCGGATGAGTTAACCAGTGTTCAGTGTGAGACTATGAGTTATCCAACTTCGTCAAATTCATTCAACAAGCCTTTCAGGGGGAAGTGCAGGGAACAAAACCCAAGACTTCGTGGCTGCTAGGTAAGTGCCGTACCACTGAACTACATCTCCACGTCCCCAACCCCACCAATAAACCTTGGTGACTTCATGTGCTAGGTGCCAGGGCTATAAAGATAAATAGGACATACAGGCTCCACCCTCAGACTGCTCACATCTGACAAGTCAGTTTTGTAAGTGTGGTGTTGTAGGGGTACGTATGCAAAATGTTAAGGGAACACAGAGACAACTCATTCTGTGCGCAAAGATAGGGAAGAATTTACGGAGGTGGTGATATTTGAAATGGGACTGGACGGATGAACAGCAGTCCGACTGGGAGACTGGTAAGAACAAGACCCAGTGCGGTTATGAAGGATGATGTTTCGGGGAAAGGAAACATCTGAGAAGTGGAGAAGTATAACGAAGCCACAGGCTCAGGGCGGGGATGAAGCTCTGTGATAGAGTTCCTGCCTCGCACGTCCCCAGCATAGCAAAAAAAAGAAAGAAAAGAAAAAAATAAAGTCTTGCTGGTTGTGATGGTGGGTACCTATACCCCCAGCTAGGTAGGATTCTTGGATCCTAGGAGTATGAGGCCAGCCTTCCTTACCAGAAACAAAACAAAACAAAACAAAAACTCCTGAGGGCCGCAGGACCAGCCCTGCTGATAGTTAAGTCAGGAATATGCTCTCCCAGAGCTCACACTGAGGGTTTAGGTGAGGGTGTGGCTACAGCTGTCCTCAACCCTTCAACTCGAGAAGCAAGCAGCGCAGAGGTGTGCAGGAATCGCTGAGGTGTGGCAGAACAAGGCCGAGTCTCACACGGCTGAAGCGGGGTTGAAGGGATCAGCTCAGGGAGCTGAGGCAGCGAGGCTTTGAGAGCCAACTCCAAGGAGGTCCCTGAGGGCAGTGAAGGGCGCAGAGGCTGTCCTGCCGGGTCTCAGCACCCCGCTGGTTGCTAGTCCCAGGCAATGCAGGAAATAGGGCTATGCAGAGATACAGCTACTTAAAAGAAGCATCTACATGACTAGCTGATTGTTGATGTCTGTGACCTATGGTTGTCAGATGTAGTTTCTCAAGCAAAACCAAAATTCTGATTTTTATGTCAACTCTAAGGATTTTTAAATGTTGGCTCAATTTTTTAAAAATCAGTCTACACAAAACAGAACTGTGGGGAGAATCTGGCTGGACAGCTGTCTGTTCTAATCTCTTCTTCAGGCAGCTTAGAGTTCTGAAAAACTGAAGATGGGAAACAACAGGATCAGAGCTTTGTTTCAGGAGTAGAACAGGTGGAGAGGGGTGAGTGAGGCAACGAGCGCTGATGACCAGACACAAACAATGGAAAGGGACAGGAGAGAACAGGTCTAAGACAGTTACGGAGCTGACTCAACAGGCCTTGGATGTGGGTGAGTAAGAGTGAGAGACTGCAGCAGATACTTCAGTGGTGCATGCTGCTTTCATTCTGTCTTCTCCCTGCTCTCCAATGGCCAGCGTACACTCAGGGGTAAGTCCGTGGTGGTCACGACAGGTTTAAAACAGTTTTATAAGGTCTTCAGCCCCCACCTGTCCCAGTACTCGGGATTGAACCCAGGGCCTTCACACGGAGCTACAGTCCTGGCCCTTTTTTATTTTTATTTTGAGACAGGGTCTTGCCAAGTCATTAAGTTACCCAGGCTGGGCTTGAACTTGTGATTTTCCTGAGAAAAGTACTGGGGTTACAACTGTGTACCACCACGCCCAGCTTTTCTAAGGCCTTTATAAAGGTGAACACTTGAGTTTTGTTTTTTTTCTATAAATGAAAGCAAAAATAGAATCAGAAAGTCATTTATACTCTTTCTTGGAAGTGTATTAATTTTTCTTTAAAAACATGTAGTAAACCTCCAAAAGGTGATTTGATCTCTGCTCTTCTGCTTAGCATCAGACCTGCTAGAAAAGAAGAGAAACTAAAGTTGGTTACTAGGGGCCTACACTCTCCAGGAAGCTTAGAGGAGACTCGGTAACTCCCAACTGTGAGCTACAACCTGAGGAGTTTCTTGGGCAAGAACCAGTCCTTCCTACCTTGTCCCTTGGTCACCTTCAGTACTGACAGCTGCCTCTCCCAAAACCATTTCTGAAATAATCTGTGACTTTGTTAAGTACTGTTCTAAGTCAGAATGTAAGCAATCTGCTACAACTGTTCTGGAACTCCCTGAATTTAACCCAATTTGTTTTTAAGCAGAATGATGGCAACCAGTGAAAAGTTAACGAAGCTTGTCGCATTTGAAAGCGATTTATTTGAACCATTTTGGGACAGTGACAATCAATGATCAGCTTCCAAGGCTTTCTGATAAGTGGTAACTAATGTGTGAGCTTACATGCTTCTTCCCCTGGTGGAAGACACATATATGTCCTGTAAAATTTTGTCTTTCATTCCTTTGATTCTCCTGCTATGACATATTAACTTTTCTGCCAAAAGCAGTATCCCAAAGTGGAACTGATTTTACCCTTTATCCTTGAGGGAGTGGACAAGGATTAAGATACAGAAAGCAGCCTTGCCCCTGCTGGCTGGCTTGCAGTAATTCCTCGCCCCTCCCGAATCTTGGAGCTTTTCTCACCTCTGCCTCTGACCTGTGTCATTGCCTCCTTCTGGTTGCTCCTGGGGGTGCTAAATCCCCCAGGACACCTCGGACTCCAGGAAGATCCGAGAGCTGAGGAAACCTGGTCCTTCTGTAAAGCTTAAATCTCAGCTTTGCAGCTTCAAAGGAAAAGAAACCCTACACATCAACATGCACCTTCTCGTGACAGGTCCTTTTCCCTACAAAACTAACAGACTACTCAGATTTTATTTTGAAAGTGGGGGAGATGTATTGATTTTAGGTTTTTCAAGTACAGTGTTACAATGCAGGGAAAGGGCGGGAGGAAACACGGGACACTAAGCACCTGCTTGGAGGCTCAGTTTATGTATGAAAGGCAATGGCTTCCCAGGTTTCCCCCCAGTTTCAGGACACAAGCTATAATCCAGAGAGTGGCCTTCTTGGCCTGCTCTCCCTTTTGCCTGTTCCTGCTACTTCCCTGCCGTCTTTAATAAACTTACTACATACTAAAAAAAAAAAAAAAAATCCACTGATGGGCATGCTGGCGCACGCCTGTAATCCCAGCACTCAGGAGGCTGAGGCAGGAACGTTGCTGTGAGTTCAAGGCCAGCCTGGGCTACAAAGTGAGCTCAAGGCCAGCCTGAACTGCATAGTGAAAACTCTGTCTCAAAAAGACAAAAAAAATTAAATTAACTAATTTTTAAAAATCCAGAGACTGTGTTTCTTAATTTACATTTTTCTTATTTCCAAACTGATTTTATAAAATGGCAAAAATACCTGGTGGTGAAGTAAAATTAAGTGTGAGTACTAAACATTATTACTACAATGGATAACTACTTGTATTTTAAGAGTGGTTCAAGTAGATTTGGGGCTTTTCTTTCTTCTTGGGATGTGGGAAGAGACAGGGAAGGAAAGGTTCCATAATACACAGTGATTTCCTAGCTGGTTTTGGCTCAGGGCCTTCTAAAAACTCTGACAAAAGCCAGACTCCCCCCAGAAACAAGCAGACCTACTCCTTGCACTTTGAAACAACGGCTGACTCTCACTGTCAGAAGCCACCACGTGAGAAGCCATGAGGAAGGAGAAGTGGTTTGGGTGGGGCTGCAGCAGAGGCAGGCACAGGGGAAGGACAGAAGAATAAACATTTGAAAAGATGGCTGATAACAGTATTGCGATTTTTTTAGGGGCTCTAGTAATCTTTTCATTTGCAACTGCATCAAAAGGATAAAATCTGATAAGGCCTTTCCTCCATAACTCAAACCTCACTCATGTATTCTAATGATATCAAAGGAAAGCATTAAATTTATTTTTTTTAATTTTTTTTTTTTGTCTTTTTGATTCAGGGTCTCGCTATGCAGTTCAGGCTGTCCTTGAGCTCACTTTGTAGCCCAGGCTGGTCTGGAACTCACAGTGATCCTCCTGCCTCAGCCTCCCAAGCGCTGGGATTACAGGTGTTTGCCACCACGCCTGGGGAAAGCATTAAATTTAAAGAAAAGCAATTTTCCACTAGTTTTTTTGTTTTGCTCATTAAAAGTAACTGTTTGAGACATGCATTTAAAATGAACACTGTCTTTATTATGTAACAAGATCTGTATGACTCATAGTTACTGAGGAGGTAGCAATTTTATTTTATTTTATTTTATTTATTTATTTATTTATTTTTGTCTTTTTGAGACAGGGTCTCGCTATGCAGTTCAGGCCGGCCTTGAGCTCACTTTGTAGCTCAGGCTGGTCTTGAACTCGAAACAATCCTCCTGCCTCAGCCTCCTGAGTGCTGGAATTATAGGCATGTGCCACCATGCCCAGCAGCAGTTTTTAAAATTAATATATATTCCCAAAGTTGGCAACAAACTAACCCACATATTAAATATACTCGACTTCAGTCTTTGTGTTATGAAAATACTGTGGGGGAGGGGTTAATTAAGCAACTAAATATAGTAAATGACATAAAAAAAACTATTATTAAAAATATGTAAAATGAAGAATGCAAAAAGACTTACCCAAAAAATATGAAGGCATTCTGGAAAAATACAGCAATTCCAGGATATACTATGGGTTTTTCTGTAAAAATAAGGGTGATATTTAGAGGTTTGTGATATCGAAACATTTTATTTCATACATACTGGCAAATGCCGTTTCTCCTACCTGGCACGATTGACGTCTCTGGGAACTGTGGCTGCAGTGAATACTGCAAGATGGCAGGGGTACCACAGAGCCTGGCACTGGGTTAGTGCCAGGTCCCTTTGCTCACTTAACAAGCATTTACTAAAGGCATACTGTGTACTAACGCTGTGTGATGTGCTCAGGATACAGAGGTAAACAAAACAAACTGTTTTGCTCTCATGGAGCTAGACAACATGAAAAATCAACAAGGAGAGAGAATACAGCAGGATGGCACAGGAGGTTGAGCAATGATGACGTTTGACACAGGTGGCCAAGAAGACCTCATGAGAAGTCAACCCTGGAGTAGGGCAAGGAGGAAGTGAGGGCAGGGGCCATGCGGAAGCAGCGGGACAGCAAGTGCAAAGGCCCTGAGGTGAGGCCATGCAAGCACAGGAGAGGGCTGGTCCCTTGGAAGAAAGAAGTAGAACATGCCACAGAGTAGAGAAGTAAGTACAGCAAGGACCCTTACTTTTCACTCTGAGAGGAGAACCACTGAAAGGTTCTGAGCAGAAAAGTAGCATGAGCTGATGTATTTTAAGACCCCTCCAGTTCCGGTGTGAGAGTAAAGGAGCCAAGGGGACAGGCGGGGACGCCCACTAGGAGGCCCAGGCAATCAGGCCGACAGTTGTGCTGGAATCCAAGGTGGCAGTAACGGAGAAGGCAGAAGTGGTTAGAGCCAGGACTCACCGCACAGCAGAGTCAGTAGGTTTGCTAATGAGCTGGAGGTGGCGGGCAGAAAGAGAGGTGCCATCTCTGACAGGCCCTAACCGCTCGGGTGTGGGGCCTACACCCCTGGGAGGACAGCACAGCCCTCAACTCAGGGGGGAAAGACTGGCCACAGGAACACTGTGCTCTGATTTATCTGGGGCTGAAGACGACAAAGCAAGGCCTGATAATAGATGGACTATCAGTTTTTTCTCACCTTAAAACAGTTATAAATTTATCTGACTGACATAACAGCTGCCCCCCCCCATGGTACTGGGGATTGGACTCAGGGCCTTGCGTATGCGAGGCAAACACCCCACCACTGAGCCGCACCCCCAGCCCTAACGGCTGACTGGTCTGGGCCTTCACTACTGTCCCACATTAAATGAAGATTATAACTAGAATGGTTACAGTAATATTGAATCAATGCAACTATATAAAATTACAGATCTGCTGCTAATAATTCTTAATAGCCTTTATGAAAATTACTTAAAATTCTATGAGGTAAAGACATTCCTGTAAGAACCGTTTCTGTAGTAACAGACATGTCTGGGAAAGGATTAGTAATTTTTAAAAATTCCTTTATATTCCCAATTTTCTATAATACAATAAACAAGTACTATGCAATTCAAATCACCTGACTAAAAAGTAATGTGTTTGCTTTTTCTTTGTTGTTTTTTGAGATAGGGTCTTGCTGTAGTCCAGGCTGGCCTCAAACTCACAGCGATCCTCCTGCCTCAGCCTCCTGAGT